TGAAAGCTCTGCGGCCTTCCAGCTCCCAAAACAGCACCTGGCATGTGCCTAGTCCTCAAAATATTGTTTGTCAAGAAGGATCTTCCCTAGCTTAGTGAGGAGATCCAACCTTAGCCCAGCAAACCCATACGGAGTGTAGAAATGCGCACCAGCCCGACTCTGGTTAGACCCGTGTGGCTAAAGCTGCCGACCCTGGAATGTTGAGGGACAGTAAGCACTGTACCCACTGAATCTGCTGGGGGGGGCCAGTGCTTCTGCCGCCCTCTGCAGTCACAAAAGCTGCAGACAATGCACCTCAGAACTATTTCAAGAAGTAACAATAGAAACTTAAAACAGGACCTTTGGTAATTTTAGCTTGGTGTGCTAACCAATGATATTCAAGGGAAAGCCTCTATGAAAAGTGGTCAGAGGACTGGCTAAAGACATTTGATTCTGACACCAATTCCATTGTGTGGCAAACACTTAACTCGATTCTGACCCTGCCTGCCTGGGAAAGCACGGGGCCCATGGGAATGCCCCCACTGCAGACGCCCAGCCCAAGTCCAGGATGTCACAGTGCTTCTGCCCGACCCACTGAAGATCAGGGATTCTCATGACCCCTCCCCGGATTCCATTAATCCAGTAGAACAGCTCATGGAGCACTTCCCTTACTAGGTTAATGAGAACCGCGTTGTTCACTAGATCACTAGTTCATCATCAAAGGATGGGCCTCAGGAACAGCCACATGGGAGATGTGCATGGGGCACAGCTGTGGGAAGGGGCACGGAGCTGTGTGCCCTCTCTGGGGGCACCCCCTCACACACATACAAATGCCCACGTGGTTCCCAGCCTGGAATCTCTACAAATCCCATTCTTCTGGGTTTGTGGAGGCTCCATTACTAGGCCTGATTGATTAAATCACTGACCACTGGCAAATGACTCAACCTCCAGCTCCCTCCCCTCCCTGAAGGTCAGGGGTGGGACTGAAAGTTCCAAGCCTCTAACCCTGTGGTGGGTTCCCTGGCCATCAGCCCCCATCCTTAGGGTGGGTTCCAAGTTCACTGTCTTAACATAAACTCAGATGTGGCGGATGGGGGCTTGTCATGAATATCAAGACACCTGTGTGGCTCTCATCACAGGAAGTCCCAAGGGTCTTAGGAGCTCTCTGCCAGGGATGGGGACAAAGACCAAATGTTCTGATGATAAATCACAACATCACAGATGGCAAATTGAATATACCCATTTCCCCAAGGACAAAGAGAAGAGATAGCTGCAACAAAATTTTGGAAACTGCAGAACAGATACTTAGCAAATCTGAGAAAGTAAACTATAAGACAGCAGTGGGAGATGCTGAAAAATAACCCAGTTCACAACAGGACCCAAATGTGGAAAAATCCATGGTACTAGGAACCTCTGAAAATCAGGTTTAGATAGCACTGGAACAGGATAGGGTGAAAGTCTTCTTAAAGCACAGAAATCACCAACACAACCCACGCCTTTGCTATTGGAACCAGCCTCCCCCAGGGCAGAAGATCCAGCTGCCCTATCCAGACAGTATCTGGACAGCAATTCAGGCTTGCTAAAGGATGGAGTAGAGTGCTAGAGCAGAAGGACGTGAAGGCCTCCACACTGAAAAGCGAGACAGACTTCAGTCCTTCTGGGCATGGCTCTCCAGGACATCCTAGGACAAGGCTCCAGGACATCCTCAGATCAGCTCTCCAGGTCATTCTAAGATTCAGATCCAGAATCTAGGAGATGAACAGATAGGATATGCATGTGGGAACAATAGGCTGCTAAGCCAAAGGAAAATTTGGAGATTAAAAAAATCCTCAAAAATTAAAACAATAGCAACAATAGAAGGGTACCAAGATAAAATTCAAGAAATATATAGCAAAACAAAAAGACAAGCAAGAAAAATAAGCATGATATTAGTTGATCAGTCCAGGAAGTCAGTTAACCAAAATATGGGAGGTTGAAGGGAATATTTTAAAAACCGAGGGAAGGAAATGATCAAAGAAGCAACACAAGAAATGTCCCCAGATTGGTGGATCCACTGGAAGTGCACTGGACGCCACCACAACAGACCTGCAAAGACCCCCACCAAGGAGCATGAGGAGCCAGGAGACCACCACCCCAGGGACACAAGTCAGCTGTTCTCTGGACATGCGGCCTTATATGTACCTTCCTGAACAGGTTTTTAATTTTACTCTCTATTTTTCTGTAGTCTATTTTGCACGTTTAAAATATCTGATAAACAGTGTCTTGCTGTACACATGTATTTGCTACTTGCTTTTGCTGCTTCAACATTGCTTGGGCATTTATCCAAGCTGATATGTGTGGATTTGATACACAGCAGCTGACATGAAAGAATTAGACTCCTTTGTGGCTACAATATGTTTACTGAGGAGAAATGAATACAACCTCCAGTCCTCCAACAAATGCTCATGTCACACATGCTGTGTGCAAGCCAGAGCTTCCCTGGGACACCCCTGAAGTGGATGGGCATCGTCACGGTGGTGGCGGCACACCTTTGGTTCCACAAGCAACTGCCAAGTGGCTGAACCATTTTCTGTTTCTAATGGGCCCTTGGCATGCTCACCAGGCCCTGGGCAGCAGCTGGTGTTGCCCCACCCCTGCACTTGTGTACTCACCTTTCCATGACAACTGGGGGCACTGACCCCTTTGCTGGCACTGTGGCAGGGACCACCTGTAATTCCCAGCACCCCCTCTCCTCTGTTTCCTTTCCTGGTGGACCCCATGAGGAATCTCCCACAACCCCCAGCTTCTGTTCCTGGGTGTAGCTATGTGACTTAAGTCCCGCCAGTGGAACATGAGCAGAAGTGATGCAACTTTCTTAAGCACAGACTGTGAACCCTGGCCTCCCTGTCCCCACTTTTGCATGGCTGGGGAAGTGACAACAACAGCCTTTGATGTAACCATGAGTGCCAAGTGGCAGACAGGAGCCCTTCCAGCCAGCGTGGGTCCCCAGATGATGACCTAAAATAGAGTTTTCTACCTGCCTGGGGCACCTACAATCCTCTAGCTCATTGTATGGGGGGAGTGGAGGGGACAAATTCCTAGCTTATTTAAGCCAGGGCATTTTGGGATCTGTTACAGCAGCTTAGCCTCAAGTCCAATCAATGGCCTTTGCACATTTTTCTATTGAACTGTCTTTCCCTCCTTTTGCCACTTAAGTTCTTTACCTAGTTGGGTATTAATCCTTTGTTGGGAATATGGGTGGGTATTACAAATTTTTTCTCGCAGCCCCAGGTTCATCTTTTTACTTTGTCATTTTTCAAAAGAATATTTGAAAATCACCAGACTGCTCTCCAAAAGGATTATGCTAATTCACAATCCTAAGAAGCAGTGCATGAAATGCTCACTTACTATCCTGTAGTCGGTACTGTGCATTCTTACTTTTAGTTTTTATTAATTTGATGACAACAGCCAGATTTCCAGTATTTCAATGTGTAGTTCTTTGATTGGGAGATAAGTATTCTCCCAGTCTCTGATCTCTATGCTCTGGTATGTATTGAAGGTATTAGGCTGATGTCTCAATTTCCCAGAGGCATGTTGTGCTAGTCTGGGAGGGCTGACTGCTGCGACAAGAACTCCCCACATTTCACAGCCCACGAAGAGGTTTACTTCTAGTTCATGTCACAGTCCAGATCAGGGCTGGGGTTGGGGCTCTGCTCTGGGATGCCATTTGGGGACTCCAACTTCATCTAGCTAGCATTTCTGTACTTTTCCTGGTGAGGACTCTGCGCACAGCTGGCAGGTGAGGGGGAGACACACGGCCTGAAAGTGAGCTTTATCACTCTGCCTACCACTCCGTCACACGACCTCCACCACAGGTTAGGTTGCAGCCCCGTCCAGCCATGTCCCCAACAGGAAAACCCGCCGAGATCTGGTGACCTGCATCTCATTGCCACAAGCACCCACTCTCAAGGACAGGGTGTGGGGCCCTGTTTCCTGCAACTCCAGCAACAGGTCCTTGACCACATCAGTACTCAGGGAATGAATATCCCAAAATAGCTACAGGCAGGGACTGAGAGGGGTCATTTAGGGGCAAGGATTCTCACCCCCAGCAGCCCTATGGCCCTGTACTCGAGGCCCACAGCTGAGAAGCTGGCCCCTCACCCTGAGCAGCCCCAGCAGGTGTGGGAAAAGGCCACCACCACTAGACCCTGAGAAGAGACGTACCCCACACACCAGAGTCAGCATAGCGCCACCCACAGGGTGGTCTCTGGGACCCTCCGAGGGTCTGGGGGTTAGATGAATTCCATAGCAACTCCACAATACTTCCTGACTGTTTCGCTCTCTCTCACATGAGTGCAGGAGAGTTCCCAGAGGCCATGGGGCACAGGGTGCCCTAAGGGGGGACTCAGCAGTGGGCCTGAGATACAGCTGCCTCCTGCCAAGTCTGGCTGCAGAAATGTGTGGAAATCCCCAAGGCCTGCTCCTCCCACTAGACGTGTTTTGCTTTATGAAAGCTACTAGATTACAGGTTATCAGACATGTCTTCAATGAACAAGTAATTTTTACATTTCTTAGTTTCTAAAATCCAGTGTAAACATCAGTCTACATAACCCACATAAACACAGCTCTTTGAGACCCTGGGCTTTTAGGATAGTGGAGGGGTCCCGAGTCCTTAGGTGTGAGAGTGGCTGGCACAGCAGCTACTGAGGCCACTTCTGGAGCCAAAACGCTCCTGCTGAAACTGTGCTGCTACACAGCTACCTGAGAACCAGAGCAGCAAGTGTCCTGTCAGCCTCAGTACCCCACAGGTGAGGTAAACTGAGAACAGCACGCTCTGCTCGGCTTGTCTGGTAAATGGGGCGATCCTCACTGAACACATGCACATCGCACACAGGGTGCCCTCAGGAGGCACCAGTCCTTGTATTTATGTGCCGGAGACCCAGCCCAGCCTAACTGCAAGTGGGGCACCCTCACACTAAATGGGGATGAGGGGAGCACACATCAGCTACCCAAAGCTCAGGCCAGGGTCCCAGGATGACTACCTGTCAGTCGTGTCCAGATCAGACTCCATCCTGTCCAGGCCCCTTGCAATGCCATCGAGCTGCTCACCCTGATGGTGGAGGACCCTGGATGTGTCCTCCAGACGCTTCTGGGAGCAGGCCATCAGAGAGGTCAGCTTCCTCCCCTCGGTCATGGGCGGGGAGGCCGCCTCAGCTGGGGGCCCAGACAACAGCAGCGCTCTCCAGAAGTGCTCAATGGTGCTGAAAGCGGCATTGCGGCTAGGCTGCAAGGCACTGAACCAGTGCTTCAGGCAGTCCTTTTCCAGCACAGTGATAGAGCTGAAGATGAAGTGGGAGGCCTCCTTCTTGATCTCAGTTACACTGGAGAGGGGAAAGCTGACCAGCGTCTCCCCGGTTTTATCGGCTGTAAACTTCAGGGAAAGAGGCATTAATGACAGTTTCCCAGGAACCCATTGCTTCTCAGATTCCAAATAGTAGGAGCATGGCCAGGCATGGATGCAGACATCTCTGTTCATCTGGTTTCTGGATCGGCTTGCCCCACTGCCAACAGCCACCCTGCTCTGAAGGAGAGGGAACAAATTAGTGGGTGGTCAGGATAATGCATCATCACACTTGGACTGGTGACACATTCTGACACTAGGACACCAAGGGTAAACCTGTCTTGAATATTACTGTGGAAAAATTAAAGTTAATGTGTCAGGCTGAGGCAAAACAACTGGATTGCATTGCAGGAAAATGAGTTTACCTTCCACCATCACAATAGCAAGGGCATGCCCACCATGCCCTGATTTGCATGCATGACAATCAGCTCCTGCCACTCAGCCAGGGACTGGTGCCAGTCACCGCTGTGCTAGTCACTAGGACCTAGAATCAGCTGAGCCTGAAAGAGGCTGCTTTGCCGAGCTGAGAACGCTGCCATCACCACACAGGAACCTCAGTCACGACCTGCAAGTATAGAGCACGAGGGCATCAGGCCGCAGGAAACCCTCCCTTTGCAGATGTGCTACTCTGTGGGGACTCCGGAAGCCCTCTGACAGCTGGGCCCATACCCGCAGAGCACGGGCATGCCAGTTCTGGGCCAGCAGTCTTAGGATCCAGATGCATCAGTGTGCATGGCCACCCACTCAGGAGGAGGGCCAAAATGTGGGGTCAGAGGACACAGGACCCAAGAGGCTGTCTTCTTAGCAGCAGGACTATGAGTGCCAGACCAAGGGGGCTCTCTGAACAAACCATTTGCATGCTCTGACCTCAGGAGGGCTCCTGGCATTGGAAGAGGCTGAGCATTTCCTTGGGATATCTGAACAGAAGGTGTGGTCACCCTGGAGGGGGCTGACCTGTATGCTCTACCCATGGGCTATGCAGGAGCACATGCCTGGGCAGCAGCTGAGGCTGCCTTCTTGGGGACCACACATCATGGGGGCAGAGAGGGCCGTAATGCATACGTGTCCTCATCAGACTCCTCCCCAGTGAGAATCATGCTAAGCACTCAGAAACGGGCACAGAACATATGTGGAGCTTGGCTGGGGCCCTTCAGGATGGGGAAGCAGCTGTGCAGACCCCCAGTCCATCATGACCATGGTCATGGGAGCCATGAGCTCAACCAGCCGATGCTGCTCTGCTGTGAGGCTGCTGGGCAACCACTGGACTGATCAATAAAGGTTTCTTTGCTCAGTCCACCGATGTAGCCATGATTTCCGGATTGAGGCGCCCTGGGCCCCTCATTGTAGTGGGTGGCAGCAGGTCTGCCCCAAAGCCAGCCTGACATGGTCCTTGGGCTGGAAGGAGCTATCTGCCACCAACCCACCTCCAGCTGGCCAGGAGTTGGGGAGGCCCTAATCCTGTCCTCCACGGCCCCACACTTTGACAGCTTGGTCAGCAGATGTGGAGGCTTTGGAAATAATGGCTGGCCCCCCATCATTCCTGAGTGCCCACTGAGCCCTTGCTCACTCCACAGCAGTGTAGGGCAGTTCTGGCCTGAGGACCTGGAAGAGGGCCAACCCCTTCTGGGCCTAATTATCCACCATTAAAATAACTGGAAGGCCGAGCACATCCACTTCAGAATATTCAAAAGGGGGAGAAGGGGAGAGGAAAGGAAAGGGCGGAGGGGTGCTCCCCACTGTCCAACCCTCCAAGCAGGAGGCTGGAGAAGCTGCTCCCAGAGAGCCAAGTGGAGGTGCTGCAGTGAGCAAACCAGTCCCAGGTGGCCGGGTGAGCCGAGGATCGTCTGCTGCCCTGTCCCTGGTCCCCCACACACCGGCCTCGGGGTGGGGCAGTGCCCCTACTCACTCAAAGGCAGGCTCCCTCCTGTGCCCTGGCCAACACTGCCCAATGCCCACTTCTCTGTGTCCTGCCCCAGGGGCCTGCTTTCTGCCAGGGCCAGACTAAATATTTCAGGTCTGTGGGCCTGTCACACCACTTGGCTCTGACGCCTGAAGAGGAAGCCAGCAGACACATGGAAACAAGGGCTATGCTGCCCCCAGAAAGCTGGTGTATCACATGTGTGACCGTTCCTGGTGGTCTCCTCAGTGTATGCGCATGCTCTAAGGTCCACCACCTTCCCCAGCCTGGGCTCTCCCAGACTTGGGCAGCCTACCCACCCCTGGCAGCCATGTTCACCTTGGGTGCCCCTCTGCCTATTCCTCCACCTCCAGGAATGCCCTGAAGGAGAGCTCTGGATGCCCTTCATCCCTCCCAACCATCGGTCTGCATGGCCTGCGGGCTGTGCCTTGCATCTGCCATGGCCCCTGAAGCCACACTGCTATTTAAGGCTGCCAAGACCCCCAATGACTGTGCAGCTGGTCCCCTGCTTCACTCTGCCCAACACCCATTCTCTATGCAGCAGGCAAGAAGACAGGCAGGACGCAAGAGTAGAAAACATCGCCCTTCTGCTGAACGCCCCTGCTCCTGGTCTAGTGAGCACCTCTGAACTGTGGCCTCACCCATGGCCTGTCCTCTCTGTCCCTTCTGGCCTCAGGGCCACATGCTCCCCCCACTCCTGGGACTCTGGATGGACCCTCCTCCTCACCCTACAGCTTGGGGCTCCAACCTCCTGAATGGACCCTGCACTAACCACCTTGCACCATGACTCCAAAGAGCTTGTGGACAAGCTTGTGTAGCCCAAATAGGCCTACACCTGAAGAAGCAGGGAGCCATGGGTCACCTAGAGATGTGTGCTGAGTGGATCAACACTCAAATGAACAGCAGCTGTGTGCATGGTGGACAGTGGTCTTTCTTCCACAGTGGCCCTGCCTCCCATCTACCGTACACTCAGGGTCACCTGGAACACACTTCCCTGTGCAAAGATCCACAGGCCACTTGGCCCTGATACAGCACCGAACAGAGACAGGCAATGACAGCCACGCTCCCAGGGGCATCTGAGGCTGACTGGCAGAGTATTGCTCTGCATGGGGGGCGTCATTGTCATGGGGTCTGAGCTCATTGTGCCCTTGATATAAGGGACCCATTCAGCATTTGCTCCAGACCTGTGCCCTAGACTGAGAGTCTGTACCAAGCACACACCTTATTTTTAGTTAATTTCCAAAGTAACAGGACCAGCAGCGTGTTATACACCTTCCACTAACTGACCATGCAGAGGCCTGGGGTTAGAATAGTGCCACCACAGTATCTTCAGGCGCCTCCTGCTCTGCAGGGGTTCCAACATTACCCTGGGAGTTTCAAATGTGCTGTTTGGGGGTGTTTCACTGTGACGCCATGGCCTAGTCAGGTGGCACCCCTTCCACCTCCCAGAGAGAACCAGGATTCTGTGCTTTTGCTTCTGTGTTTCCTACCTGTGCTGGCTAAAGTTCTGGCTGTTTTTCTGACTTTGCAGGTCAGGGTGTCACTGGGCCATGAAGGCACAGAACAGTACCCGCCCCCAGGCTCTGATGTGCCCAGGTGGGGCCAAGTGTTCATTTCTGGTCTGGGGACCCAGCCCTGCTCTCACAGATGGCATGACACTGCTGACCCAAGAAGCCACGTTGTAGCCTGGTGAAAACAGCACAAGGCCTGGCCCAGAGCAAATGCTCGAGGAAGGATCCCCCTGCCCCCACCCTGAGTTACTGTACTGGCTCACCTGCCCCAAGCCTCCCCTCCTGAAGGAACAGCTTCAGGAGCTGGAGTCCTGGGGTTCCTCCCAGGCAACACCTATCAGAATTTCCTATTTCCCCCATGAGGCAAACTGAACCATATCTCCCAGCCCTTACACAATTACCAACACTGCTTCCCGCACTTTCCCATCTGTCTCCATAATTGACACTCACCACATCTGAAATCAAATACTTAAGAAACATCTAGTCAACATGTGGCAAAAATGTTGACATATGATGTTAATGCCTTAAAAATGGTTTACAAAAGCAGAAGCTTATGTATGTAAACTGCGTGTATAATGGAGAGAGAGATGGGTGTGTGTCCCTGAAGGGCAGCTCTACATCAGGAATGAGAAAGGCCACCTCTGGGTGAGACTGCAGGTGATTTATCCTCCACCTGAACTGCCCCATGCATTCTTTCTGCAAAGAGACCCACACCCTGGCCACAGACACAGAGGCAGCCTGGGCAGAGGCACAGCAGAATCACACTCCGCTCACTGCTCCACCACCTGCCCATCTGCGTGTTCTCTGCTTCTCCACTGGACCTGACTCCCAAGCTCATCTCCTGGTCCTCCACTGTCCTTTCCTCACTTCAGCCTCCCTGCTTCCCTGGTTGAGCGTCCTGCCCTTTGGCAAGAGTGCCCCTCAAGCTCCTCCCTGAACCTCCCCACCCAGCCTGCCTGTGAGGGAAAACATGATGACATCTTCCTCCCCTTGCCTCAGGGCATCCCCTCTGGTCAGGAATGAGGCAGCCCAGCGTCCAGACTGCACAAGGGAGACGCCACCTGCCAACACAGCCGTAGGCAGCAGGGAGGCAGGAGCCTGCCCAGGAGCAGACCACACAGGCACATCGACTGCTCCCCTGAGTGAGCTCAACTGTTCTGCTTGCTGTGTGAGGGTGTGAAGTTCTGCCCAGCTCTGCACCCCACAGATTCCCCATATACAAATAACATGCCCATTCACCCAGTAACACATCTTTTCTTTCCCTCCATATTGATATGGGTGAGTTTGTGCCCACAAGACGTTTATTTATCAACATACTAAAACCCTGAGCTGTCTCCTCCATCCGTGTCCCCTCTCATATGTCCACCTGTCTCAGGCCTGCTGGTATACACGGCCTCCAATCCCCACCTCTGATCCCCCATGCTCCTCATGCAAGCCCACCATCCCCTGCAGCACCCTCTCCAGGCACCACCATCCCCTTAGGTCCTCAGCAACCCCCTAGGCCCCATCATCTCCCTAGGCACTCAGCATCCTCTTAGGCCCCTACTATCCCCCCTCCCCGGGCCCCACCATCCATTCCTACAGGCCCCTGCATCCCCCAGGCCCCACCACCTCACTAAGCCTCCACCATCGCCCCAGGCCCCCACTATCATCCTGGCCCCACCATCCTACTAGGTCCCCAGTATCCCCCTAGGTCCCCGCCATTCCCCCAGGTCTCCACCTTCTCCCTATATCCCCAGCATGCCTACTAGGACCCCACCTTTGGCCCTTGTACTTCTCGGACCCTGTCAGCCCGGTCCACATGCTACCACCAGTGCATTGGGAAGAGACAGGGTCCTCACTGAGGCAGCAAAGGCAGACGGGACTGTACTGACGGAAGGTCGAAAGTGCTCGGGGCACAGGCCCAGCCGCAGACTAAGGACGCCGCTTACCTGAGTCGCTGAAGAGGCGAGACTCCGGGCGACAGCTGTTTGACAAGCGCAGATGCCGGGGGACCTGGGCTGGCGCAACGACGCTGGAGCCCTTTCTGCGCCTGCGCCGGGAGAGGGCAGCAGCGGGCTGCGCACTTAAGCCCAGAGCCAGGGCGCCGGTGTTCGGGATCCGGCAGGAACTTCGCCTTTGGGCTCTTGGTTCCGCGCAGATGCGCCGGACTCGCGCCGTCTCTGCGTGCCTGCCCTAGTGGTTTCCGCCCCGGCCGGGGCGGAGGCTGTGAATGGCTGGCATCCAAAGCACATGCACCGGAAGTAGTTAACAAGTACTTCTGCTTACACCTCCTGGTATAAAGAGTCTGAAGGTGCCGGCTTCCCACTCCTCGCTGGGCAGCAGTTGGTAACCTCCTGGGTGTGCGGTGTCCCCTGAGCTGGGCCGTGGCGCTGGCCCCTCTGCCTGCGACAGCCCCTCTGCCCTGCCCTCCAACTCCCCCACCCCCCTCCTTAAAGCACCTCGACTCCCTGCAGTCCCCCGCCCTTCGCAGCCCCTCCGCGCTTCCCGGCCCCGCCCCTTGCTCCCGTGCAGGCCCCCACCCCCAACTCTCCTGCCACCCTGCCCGCCCTTGCATACCCCGCCCCAGTCCCCCTGCAGACTCCGATCCGCTCCCCGGACGCCGCAGCCCCGCTGGCCCGGATGGACAGGGAGACGCGCTTGTTCGCCGAGAGCCACTTCCGAGGCCTCCGGGGGCGCCTCCCCGGCGGGGTCTGCCCGACCCTGGACTGCGTGGACTTCATCGAAAATCCGGACTCCTTTTCCTACGCCGACTTCTTCAAGGGCTACCTGCTTCCCAACGTGCCCTGTGTTTTCTCCAGCGCCTTCACTGAGACGTGGGGCAGCCGGAGGCACTGGGTGACCCCCAGCGGAAAGCCGAACTTCGACTATCTGCTGCGGAACTACGGTGAGTGCCGACTCCCCAAGTCACCGCCGAGAGCCCGCCAGGCTTCGGGGAGAAAGGGCAGGAGTGGCCCTAGAGGAACTCATTCTGAGAGACCAGGCGGAGCTAGAGGGCAGACAGGGCCGGCAGGAGGGTCAGGCTGGAGGAGTCAGAAGTCTGTCTGAATCTGGTTTCAGGAGATGTGCTTGTGCCTGTCGCCAACTGCGGGGTCCGTGAATACAACTCGAACCCCAAGGAATACATGCCTCTCAGAGAGTATATCAACTACTGGAAAGAGTACATCCGTGGAGATAACTCCTCCCCACGGGGCTGTCTCTACCTCAAAGACTGGCACTTGTGCAGGTAAAGGGGTGCCTGGCTGCCCGCCCCAGTCCTGCTCCCCATTGCCAGGCTTGGTGAAGGGCTGTCACCATAGGGAAAATCGCTGACAGCAGTGCCCGTGCATCCAAGAGGCCTCCCTCTGTCCACCTGCCTGCGGAGCTGTAGAAACCCCTCTCTCCTGGCATGCCACCCTCCACCCAAGCTGTTGCTCTCTAAGGTCGACCTGGGGTTGGTGTCAGTCTCCCACCTAGGGGCATGCTTTTCACAAGCAAGGACCATCATAGTCATCCTCCCACCAGTTGTCACAGGGCCTGGCAGAAAGTAGGTACTCAGCTAAGGTTGGACAAATGAGTGAACAATCGGATTCTTCTCTTGCTGATGTGGAGACTACCTGAAAAAGTGAAGCGAGACTAGAATTAAGGCCCTTGTGACTCCCAAGACCAAACCCACAGTGCGTAAGACACCCCTTGCACCATCATGCTCTTGGTGTGCCCTACCCCCAGCTTCTTAGCACAGAGCTGGCCAGGTAGACAGTGGATCCGGTGTGAGCAGACCCTGGTCCTGGCCCTCAGGGACTCCTGTTCCAGCAGTGGAGACAGATGCACAGGTCCAGATGCTCATTCACAGGGGGTTGGGCTCCCCATAAGCATCAGGTGCCACTTGCTTTACTTAATGGTGTCTCATACAGTGTGTGTTTCCGCAGTCTCTCCTGTGGTGTGCTCGTAACGTGCTTGTTCACTGCTGCTTGGGAATTCAGTGTTGGCTGCATGTCCTTATTCCCTCTGGCAACCCTAGAACACAAAGGGCAGGGGAAGGCCTGGGTCAGGCAGGTGGGGCGGCCTTAGGGGAGGTGGTATCTGAGCATGGTTTTGCAAAGGTGTGGCAGTAGATGGACTGACATGGTGTTTGGAATTGCTGGGGCCCCCCATCATGGCATGGCCTCTGGTGAGTGACTGTGAATGAGTGCAAGGCCATCTTGCTTGGGCCAGTGGCTTTGCATGTGTGCAGCAGACTTGAGCTCACGAGTCTGGGCAACCACAGTGCAGGCTCACAAATTTGGGAAACCAGCATGATGTAGTCAATGCATTTGGAGTTTGGAACTGTAGTTGATCTAGAACTAAAATCATTAAACTGGTGCCAGAGAACCCTGAACCCCGGGTTCGCTGGCTGTGCAGGTTGCCTAGGTCAGGATACAGCACCCTGAGGCATCTTCATTTGCTTACGGCTCTGGTTCTGCCACTTGGGCAGTGCTCAGCCAAGTCCACTCAGGTCTGTGGTCATCCAAGGTGACCCTGCTCAGCCTAGTGGTGGGCCTGCTCATGTGGTTCCACTGTCTTGGTATTTTGCAAACTCATGGCAAGGGTGCGGGAGGTAGGCAAGTGGCCACCCCTGCCACAGCCCCTGCTATCTCTGCAGGGATTCCTCGGCCAAGGGCTTGTTTACCCTGCCTGTGTATTTCTCATCAGACTGGCTCAATGAGTACTGGGATGCCTTGGGCGTGGACGACTACCGCTTCATCTACATGGGGCCCACCGGCACCTGGTAATGCGAGTCCCACTGCTTTCCCGTGGCCGCCACCCCCTCTCCCAGGCCAGGGAGCAGCTAAGCATCTTCTTTGGCTCCGGGTGCCTGGACTGGGGGAGGCATGGCCGCCCAGCTGGCTCCAAGGCCTCTGAGTGCTGCCAGCCTGGGAGGGACTGTGCCCGCAGCACCAACATGAGCTCATGTGCAGGTCCCCATTCCACGCCGACATCTTCCGCTCCTTCAGCTGGTCTGTCAACATCTGTGGGAGGAAAAAGTGGTTCTTCTTCCCGCCCGGGCAGGAGGAAGCCCTGCGGGATGGCCACGGTGGTCTGCCGTACGATGTCACCTCCCCCGGCATCCTCAACAGCTGCCCCTGTCCCCTGCCGCTGGAAGTCACTCAGGAGGCTGGCGAGATGGTGTTTGTGCCCAGCGGATGGCACCATCAGGTGCACAACCTGGTAAGATAGGTGCCCCCTCCCCCACATACCTGCAGTGGGCTCCCTGGGCTGCTCAACCAACAGGGTGTGCCTCCCCACCTTACTGCCCCTCAGCCTGCCAGGTGGCCCTCCTCTCCATATCTTCCTAAATGCCATCCCACAGAGAGGGCTGGGCCCACCCCTGCTGACCTCCCAATGGGCAGCTGACCTTCTGGGAGATCCTGGGTGTGGGCCTGGAAGCCCATGGGATGGGCCCCAGTACCTTCCTTCTTCCATGCTGCATCACTTTACTGGGTGCCAGGGGTTCATCTGGCCCTGGAAGCCTCCTGTCCACTGGGGACTCCAGTGGTCCAGCCCCAGCTCCTGCTGCCCTGCTGGCACCTGTTGGGAGACAGGAGTATCCCTTCCTGGTGTGAGCAGGGGAATGTGCTGTGGGCTCGTGAGGGATACCCGTGCCCTGACCCTTGCAGGAAGACACCATCTCCATCAACCACAACTGGGTCAATGGCTGTAACCTGACCAACATGTGGCAATTCCTGCAGCAGGAGCTCTGTGCCGTGCAGCAGGAGGTTGGCCAGTGGAGGGACACCATGCCTGACTGGCATCACCACTGCCAGGTGATCTGGGCCCCCAGCCTGGGCAAGAATGGGAGTGGAAGGGGGAGCTCCCCAGGACCAGGCTGTGGTGGGGGAGGGCAGGTGGCCCCCAGTGGCCGGCCTCAGGAGGTGGTCTGCAAGGCCGGAGTGGTGGTCTTGCCTCATTTGGGCCACGGACACTGATCTGTCCCTCACTACTATGGCCCTCCTCAAGGGCTGAGCTGTGTCCTGGGCACTTTGCAGTCTAGAGTCGGGTTAGCAGATACCTGCCTGGAGCTGCGAGCAGGCAGCAGCTGCTCACTGTTCTCTCCCTTCGGCCAGGTCATCATGAGGTCTTGCTCTGGCATCAACTTCGGAGAATTTTACCACTTCTTGAAGGTCATCGCTGAAAGGAGGCTCCTCATCCTGGCGAAAGGCAGGGGCCCTGAGGTGGAGGGTGGTGAGGACTCAGGACCAGGCCCCCAGCAGGCTGCTTTTGATGTCAGCCGGATTGCTGAGGTGTTGGCTTCTGTGGTGGCGCACCCCGACTTCCAAAAAGTGGACACCTGTGTGTTCTCCCCACGGCCTGAGGAGCTCCTGCAGCAGCTGGAGGAGGGTGTAGTCGCCACTGCATCTCTGTAGCGCAAGAATCAGGCAGGACACCACTCAACAGGACCTATAAGGCGCAGCATGAAGATGGTCACCTGCTCCAGGGGCCCCTCTGGAAATAACACTCTATCCATCCTCCAGGGGCCGTGACTTCCCAGGCATGGCTCCTGCTCTGATGGATCTTCTGTCATCCTGGCTGTCCCCAGGACCCTGTGCCTATCTTGGGGTGCCAGCTCCTTGTCTAGATGCCCAGCCAGGATTAGTAGCTTGGCCCTTGTGCAGACAGGCAGGAGGTGTTGGTAAGTTGGACCCATATCACGGAAGCCAAGAGCTTGGAATTGGGTGGGAACAGTGTGTGGCTGCGTCTTCTTGGTCCCCAGACTTCTCAGCAGAGGCCTGCACCAGGCCCATGGGCCTCATCCATGTATGCAGGGTCCACGGTACAGGGTGCAAACGCAGGCTGACCATCTGTCCCATGTTGGACCACTTCCAGGAGTACCCTCCTTCCCTCTGGAGCCAGTTGTCCATAGTTGGCACAGCCCCGGTTCACTGCATTGCACAAGTGCCACTTGCTGGCAGTGGGTGAGCCAGCTGAGCGCCAGAGCTTCCTCTCCTACTTCAGCACCACCCTGCCCCTTCCAGGCTGCTACCACCTGTGTCTCAGTGAGGGGAGGGCCCTGCACCCCTGGTCTGCACCACCCAGCCCACACTCGCCATCCAAACTCGCTGAGCAAGGCGAGTCTGCCAAAGCCATGCTTTGAGTGAAGTCACAGGTTCTGCCCTCCCAGCTTATAAACCTTGTGCCAGACCAAAGCCAGTCCTCATGGGCCATGGTCCCATTTTCTCTGCACACTCTTCAGCCCCCTCTGGTTTCCACTGCTCATGCACCTCTATGCAACTCAGCCCTTGGCATTGAGTTCCCCAGAGATCCCCAGAGATCGGACACATGGAGAAAGATGGGGGTTCCGGCAACTGGGGAGTCTGTTGGGTCAGGCCAGGCTGGACCCAGGGGCAAGTGGGTCTGGTCTCAGGTCTAGAGATGAACCAGGCAGGGTTCCATGCTCCAGTCTGGAGGCAGAACTGCTTTGGAAACAGTCCTTGCTTACAGCATTCACCTGATCACATGAGGCCCACCCACACCACTGAGGTCAGTGAGAACATCACCTGAAAATGCCTCACAGCAGCGTCCAGCCCAGCACTCAGCAGCATCCATTGCAGCACTCAGCAGAGCAGCTGGGCCCAGCCAAGTAGTCACTAAGCCAGTCACCCCCAGCAGCCTCCGTGTCCTCTGGCCCTCCGCACTGTCTCTGGGCACAGGCAGCATGCAGTCCCACCCCTCCCTTTGCACTCCAGTGCTCTCCAGCCGACAGCTGCCCTCACAGTCTTACTATTTGACAGCTGTGCCCCCTCCGTTCCCCGAGGTTGTCACTAGTGTGATTGAGCTGCTCTGCACACTCACTGGGTTATTTGGCCACCACACTGCACACTCTCTACTACCAGTTCCCGCTGCACACCCACCCTGCCATGTTCCTTACAAGCTCGTGTCATTCAGAAGCCAGTGTCCACGTTGCACATTTTGCACCCATTATCTGCCATTCAGGGTTACCTTTTGCACACTAGCTGCATGTGTTTTGCTCCCATCTCCAGTGTGCATTCCTGTGGCACTTCACATTTGCTGCTCCTGGGCTCACCACCACCTGCTGTGAGCTGTGCACTGTGCACAAGCGTTTGGGTGCATGCTCACTGCTTGGGTCACCAGGCACTCAGGCCTTCTCCACCCTGCTCCTAACCTCCCTTCAGCAAACCCCTGGGCAGCCAGTGCTCTCACACTTATTGAGCAGACAGCCCCCATGCACACTGTCCAGCCCGCTAGGATTCTTTGCACACAAACTGCACTATGGTAACCTGCTAAGCCGGCAGTATTGCTCCTCCCCAGTTCCTGGCCCACCTGCTTGCAGTTGGCAGTTCTGCACAACCACCAGACCTGGCAGAAGTGGCTCAGCCATCAGGCAGGGGGATAGCCCTGAAGTGCCCCAGGTGGCTCGGGCTCTTGCCTCTCAGGACTGTGTGTTGGGGATGATGTGGACACTGGCTAGCTGCATACCATGTTGGGGAGCCTAGGAGGCATGTTTTCCTCCGGGTTAGAGACACTCCAGGATGTGTGCACAGCTGTGCCAGCTGCCTGTGGACTGGCAGTCCTAGTGACAGCTGCCTCCCCTGCTCCCAGGCTGCATCTCCAAACCCTCCCCATGGACAAGGGTCTCACCCCATGATCAGTGAATATTCATCAGGCCCCAGCCAGAGAAGAAAGTATCTGGCAGAGCTGGGTCCAGTGGGGGCATTGCGGGGTGGACGGGTTCACCAGCCTTCAGAGGGGAGCTGGGAGTCCAGTTCACAGGCAGCAGGAATGCTGTGGGACGAGGCTGGCTGCAGCCCTTGGTGCATCAGAAGTGTTCCTTAACAGGAGCCCATCAGAAAGAGGTCAGAGGTGGGGTCCCAGAGGAGCCGGGTCTGGAGGGTGGTTGAAGTGACAAAGCCCTGCCCGTCCTTAGGTCCTTTGCCTCTTGCATTGTATTTTCTTATCTTTTAAAAAATTTTGCACCCATTATCTGCCATTCAGGGTTACCTTTTGCACACTAGCTGCATGTGTTTTGCTCCCGTCTCCAGTGTGCATTCCTGTGGCACTTCACATTTGCTGCTCCTGGGCTCACCACCACCTGCTGTGAGCTGTGCACTGTGCACAAGCGTTTGGGTGTATTTCAAAACGGTGTATTTCAAACTGGTGGGATGCCAGAGTTCGACCTTGAAACTGTAATTTCCTGGTGGGTGATCAAAAGCTGCCCAAGCAACAGAAGCAGAAAGCGTTTCATCTCCACAGTGCAGAACGGCAGCCACTGTCCTGGGGCAGGAAATGGACCTGGCAGGTGCTGTTTTTAGACACCCAGTTTCGGTGTGGTGGTTGCCTCACCTTGTGAACTCTGGTTGCTCTGCCCCCACCACCCAGGTCCTTGAAATGGAAATGGACATGTCCTCTGAGGAAGAGGGCGTGGGGTTCTTCCAAAGCCAGGGAGGGGCTGCTCTTCTCCATTCTCCACCTAAAATGAGCTAGTGAACTTCAAGGCATTTTGATGGAGAAGCGCCTGTCTCATTTGAACCCGGGAAATGAAGGAACAGAACCAAATGCCCAGGCTATAGTGGAAACGGTGTTGTAGTGTAATACTCAAGTGATTTTTCTGTTTGCTATTTACAGCAAATGGTCCAATGAGTAAACTTGTTTTACCTTTGTACACAAATTCTAGCTTCCTCCGACTTCTGGAATACCCCCTTCCTGCTCCCCTACCTCCTGTGGTCTCAGAAGCCCTGGTGCCTGGTACTCAGGGGAGCTCAGCAGCCCCTCCTCACCTGCTGGAGGGTGATGTGGGAGGGGATCTCTCTTCTTCCTGGGAATGGGGGTCAGGCTCTTGGTCCTGAGGGGGCCCCACTGGTGGAATCTGAGAAAGACTGGCTTGGGGGAGGCAGGGCCATGACCCTTGAGAGGGTTGGGCAGGTGCTCTGGGCATGAGGTTGGACGCAGCAGGTGAGTGCTCTGAGGCGTCCTGTGCAGAAGACAGTGCCCGGCAGTGGGCAGGGCCCCTTGGCTACTTCAGCCAGCTGTCTGGGTCCCAGCCAGCAGAAGGCACCCCTGGCACAGGTCTGGAGACTGCAGGCCGGCCTGCCAGGCTCCAGGAGACAGCCCCTGCCTGAGGAGATGGGCCTGAGGCTGGCTGTTGCCTGGGGTTAGAGGATGGGGACCCAGGGTCTGGCAGGGTCTGGGGGAAGGGAGTGACTGCTCAGTGGGTCAGGGTTAATGTGTAAGGTGATGAAATGTTTGGAAACTAGCTTGTGGTGATGGTGCACAGAGTGTGAGTGAGCCTAATGCCATGAAATAATACAATGTAAAGTGGCCTAAAGGGTAAATTTTATTTCACATGAATCTTAAAATCAAAGTGTGTAACTGAGAATATGAAAAACGACTATAAAGGAAAGTGAAAGGTGAGAGGACGGCAGGCTCTGGTCATGGAGCCGGGATGGGGTGGCCCTGGTTCTGGTCTGGAGCTGGTGCATGAGCTATGGGTGCTGGCTCCAGCTCTGGCAGTACTTTGAGAGACTGTTCTAGATCTGGTGCTGCCATGGAGCTGGAGCTGGCTTTAGTGGTGTATCTGTATCCCTGGAGCTGGTGCCAGAGCTGATGGTGCTGCCCTGACCCTGATCCTGAAGCTGGTTTTACTTCTGGAATTGGTGGCTGTGTTGGTGCTGGAGCTGGCACTGTAGCAGCTGTAACTCTGAAATGGGCACTGTGTCTGCATCTGATGTGGCCCTGGAACTGCAGCTAGTGGTTCTGGTTCTGACCCGCTGCCAGCCCTAGCACTGGGGCTGCAGACAGCAGAGTGTTCCCCTCCTGGCCACCTTTCCATGAGACTTTGTAAAGATAGGGACACCCCACTGCTTTCAAAAGACCCCAAGCCCAAACCGACCACCAGAAGTGTTCTTAGGTCCAGTGGACGAGCAGGGAAGCTGTCCTCCTGTTCGTCTGGCCCAGCTCAGCACCTTCCTTGCAGCAGCTACCCACCCTCCTGACCTCTGGCTGTACTTCGGTGGGCCACAGAGCCCTAGTGGCTTCTGGTGGAGCCTGCAGGCTTGAGCCAGTCACCGAAGATGTATATCTTCAATATCATAATAGGAAAGTGCCAAAGTGGACAAATATTGGGGGAACTGCCCAGCCAGGCATGTACAGTTGAGGGCAAGGTTACGGTCCAGGCTAGGGTTAGGGGTTAGGGTCAGGGTAAGGGTTTCATGTTTAGGGCTAGGGGTTAGGTTTAGGGTCAAGGGTTAGATTAGGGGTTAGGGTTAGGGTTAGAGAAAACTACTCTGGGCTTCCATCTCCTGTTTCTCCAAATGTCTGTGACAACCATGACTCTTCATTCACTCTCACTCTTCTGACCTAGCATAGGAGAGGGACATAATCTGCTTAAGTGCCTCCTTGTGCCTGGGGTGACAGGGACTTACTGGACTGCAGGGGGCTGGCTGGAAGGAGTACAGTGAAGTATATGTGTAGTTAAAAACAAAAAACTAAGCCGTTCTGATCTGCTTGGCTTTACGTATTTTTCATTTTCATTATATTGTGAAAACTTTGAGTTTTCACACTTATCACCAGCTTTTGTTGTGTGCTTTTATATGCTTTCATATGTTATCTTCCAACTGATGAGTCATTACATGTCAGAACAGTGTGTTCAGTTAGCTACTCAGGATTTGGAAACAATACATGTTTTGTTTAAGTCATAAGGCCAGACATCAAAACCTTGTATTACCCAGAATGTGCCAGAGGAAGACTGTTAGCATTCTGTACGTTCTGGTCATGATGCATGTTGTGTGCCTCTGTGCAACTGCATTCTTAATGTGGAGGGTGGGGGGGAGTTGAGGTGCCAGAAGCACCACTCCCTTGCTACAGCGGTGAGGTTCTCTCTTCCATCATACCTCTGGGCAAAGCTGTTCACTGCAGCATATTCATTGTAATTAAAGATGAGGGGCTGCTAAAATAAAGGTAGAAAACCCATACGTACCGTAGTACAGCAGCATACTGTGCTGTGGAGAGAATGAGGTAGGTCTGTGGACTAGCAGAACACTGTCCAGGATGCAGAGACCTGCATACTCAGGTGGGCTCCTCCCCGCCTCCCCTGTCCCTGGAAGGATGTACCAGTCAGGTGGCCTCTGGGGAAGGGAACTACTGAGGTACTAACAAGGGAGTCAGGCAGCAGAGGAATTTTATTTGCACTGTGCTCTCACTGGCACTGTTCACACTGTTTCTTACTACATCCATGTTAACATCGCTTTTTAAAAAATGCCACATTTCCTCAGTCTTTTGTGCTGCTCTGGAAAGTAGGATAGCAGTTCCTGTGAAGGTAGCATTGCTTTGAAGTTCACACAACTTCCCTTGTACCTCTCTTCTCCCATTCTTTAATGTTGCAAAGAGTGACAATGTATTTGGTTTACAGCTTGGGACAGTGGTAGAAGGGAACACCAGCTTTGCAGTCAGATCAGACCTGTATCTACAGCTTATATGATGTGGGGCAAGTTACTTAACCTTTCAGAATCATAATTTTCTCATTTAGGCTGTGGGAATGATAATATGTATAGGTCAGTCTGTTGTGAAGTTTAATGAAGAAAATATACTTAATAAGCTAGCATAGTGATGAGGTATAAATGACTTTATTCTAATTGGATAACTAAGGAACTTGTTCAGATTTTAAAATCCCTGCTTTTCAATTGTACTGAAATTGGAGCATTAATATTTCTCTTTCCCTGATGTGCTATAGTGGAATATACTTAATTTCAAGTGCCTTGTTGGCTCCTAGAGTCTTTTTTAAAGTGAATTAATATATTTCCCCTTTTTAATCCCATAAAATCTTTTAAATAAAAAAATGTTTTTTTGTTTTCCTGAATGTAAATGGGAATGGATTATGTTTTACAATTTTTGTGTTTGGGGGTTAATGCGTTACTGTATATTATGTGTTGAGTATTACAATTTACTTTTTTTCCCCACAATTTAAAGCTTTATTAACTCCATACTTTTTTTTATTTTGGTATCATTACAATTACATGAGGAACATTATGTTTACTAGACTCCCCCCATCACCAAGTTCCCCCCACATTCCCCATTGCAGTCATTGTCCATCAGTGTAGTAAGGTGTTCATAATTTACTTTTGCAGATATCTATCGAGCAGGAAAACCATAGTTGTAAGCATGAGTCCACTTGTATAGATTACCAGTCAAACTTGGTGATAGTGGTAGTATTATTACTCCTTTTTGTTATAAATATATTATTTAGGTATAGGGTTTTTTTTAGTAATAATATCTTCTAGATTTTTTTTTCAGCTCCTTCAGCCTATGTGCCAATACAAACAACTTGTATGTCCTCACCAGTGACTGATGATGAACAGAGAATGAGTATAACTTTTAAATAGACCCATATTGTACTCCAGATGCCCCCATAATTTCAAAGATGCTCAGAGACCTGACAGACTTTTGTTTGTATTTGAATGTGGATTAAATTGTATGTTGATGCAAGTTAAAAGTCAGTGATGGGATGAGTATTGTTGAGTGTCCACAGCGTCTCTATTCTACTGGACATTAAGCAGATTAAAACTACTTGCTCTCACAGCATTCGGTAGGAAGGCTGACACTGCTTTTGCTCAGCGTATACTTGCAGATTTGGCGGGTAGAGACCATTCCTTTAATGAGAGAGTGTAGGCGGTTGCCAGTGGCCCTGCCAGAGCCTTCCTGAGTGGGAAATCAGGCCTTAGTGCTTCCAAGGCCCTTCTAAGTGTGCCTGCACATTGAAATTTATAATTAAAAAAGGAGTACATTTAACTTGGTAAAAGAGATAACTGGTTAATTTTTTTGAAAAAGGAAATTGTAAAATACAAGCATGGATAATTCAATACAATTAAAAATATACTTTTAGTTCTGTGTCCAATAATCCTTGCTTTTCCCTCTTCCTCTGCACATACTTAGGTGCCCATGGCTTTGGAAGTGGTAGTTTGACCACCAAACTGCCATCCTTTTAATTTTTCTCTCAAGGGTAGTAATATTGTCTTTACCACCTTGTGGACCTTCTGAACTCTTTATCTGCCTGCTGACACATAGCTTTGCTGAACTCCTATCACACTTATGGATACTCTACGAGTGACTAATCCTTGAGTGGTCATTGAGTAAGCCTCACTTCTTGTGGCCCCTCTTCATTAAATTATGACCACGCCCCTATTTTTTAAAACTTCTTTCAGTTCCTTGATATTTAAATCATAGTTAGAGAACCAGGTGGGAGTCTATAGGCCATTTACTTCAACTTCTATCTGATAAACATGTGCTTATCAGATAGAACTCTAACAAGTATTACTCTAATCATGAACACTTTCATCAGGGAAGCATAGTGTTTCCTCACTCTTTTTTTATAATCATAAACATAACACACTTACACAACTAAAAGGGATTCAGAGAGCACATTTGTTTTCTGTTGCTCCATAACAAATTGCCACAAATTTAGCTGCTTAAAACAACACCTGTTATTAGCCCTCTATTCTGCAGGGCATAGTCAGGCTGGCACAGCCAAGCCAGCTCCTCTGTTCCTGGTCTCACACTCAGAATGCTGGTTTATCTGAGGCTCCGCTTCCGGATTGTTTCAGGTTGTTGGCAGAATTCTGCTTCTTGCCAGCTGGTTGCTATCAGCTTCTAGAGATCATTCTTAGGTCCTTGTTTTGTGGTGCTCTCTCATCCTTACAGCAAGGGAGAACTCAAATACTCAATCCCCTTCAAGTTTCAAATCCCTTTCAACTGGAAGTTCTCAATCCCTTTTAAAGGGCTTACCTGACTAGATCCCTCCCAGGATAAAATCCTTTCCTAAGTTTAACTGATTTAGGACCTTAATTTCATCCACAACTCCTTCACAGCAGCACCTAGATTAGTTTTTGATTGAATAACTAGAATGTTGTAGGTACATACTTGGAGCCAGTAATCTTGGGGTTCATCCTAGAATTCTACCCGCTTTATACAGTAAAAAGCAATTCTTTCTTACCTTTACCTTGAAGACTACTTCCTCAACCTTCAAGCCTACTCCCCAGTGGGCACTACTTTCAATAGGCTGTCACAAGCCTTTGAGACATTTTTATCTATATTCTTTATACTTGAGAATATATGGCAAAAAAATTTTTTTAACCTCAAAAAAAAAAAAAAGACAGTAAGTCCCCGCTTGGATACTTAGTTTTGAGATTTATCATGTTCCATGTCTCAGTAGTTGAGTATTGCATTGTATGGATTACTACCATTTATTTATGCATTCACAGTTGTTGGACATCTGGTGATTTTCAGTTTTTGGCTACTTGGAGTAAAGCTACTATGAACATGCTTGCATAAGTCCTTGTGTGTATGTATGTTTTTATTTATGTTGTGTACCTACAAGTGGGGTTTTGGTTGTATAGTAGTGTGTAATTAACCCTATAAGAAACAACCCACCTGCTTCCCAAACAGAGGGAGGTATAATGATCATAAAATCTTTAGTTTCTTTGGTAAATTGTATTTATCCCTGCAAATGTGCCTGTATCCCGTTTTAGTAAGTTTTTTAAATTGTTGCTGTGTTTTTGTTTTCTTTCAGCAGAAAGAAGAAAATACTCATTCTTTAACTGTGTCTGGTCATGTTGGTTTTGAGAGTCTGCCTATCAGCTGGTGAACAGATCCATTCAGCAAGGCTTCTGTTTTAATCATCTCTGTGTGGGCAAGGGCCACTCTCCCTTGGAGTTCCCCTGCTCACCGCATCTTGTAAGCTGTGTGATACCCACATCGTCAATTTTCGATCATGATCGGATTCTTTTTGTTATTTAAATTCTATCTGTTTTGTTTTTTCTAGTTGTACTGCTTTACATTTTTTGTTTGTTCTTTGAACATTTCAATGCTTTCTTCAGAGTGCTGAGAGACTTAGACTTAGCATACTATTTTTTTTTTAATTTAGAGTAAGGAAGTTCCTTTATTACTAGAATGAGGTTTTTTTTAATGCTCTGCTAATGACTCAGTGGCCCAGTCTTAGCATGTATTTCTTCTCTGGACAACCCAGCCTTTGAAATATTTGAAATATTTGGGGTCCTTGAAACCATTGTAAGAGTTCTTTTCCTCATCCATCCTGTGTACCACACTGAAGATGCACCTTTGTTTCTTTCAGGGGAGACCGGAATTGGAAAATCAACATTAATTGACACATTGTTTAATACTAATTTTGAAGACCAGAAATCCTCACGTTTTTACCTACATGTTAGACTTAAAGCTCAAACCTATGAACTCCAGGAAAGTAATGTTCAGTTGAAATTGACCATTGTGAATACAGTGGGATTTAGTGACCAAATAAGCAAAGAAGACAAGTAAGTGTTTTCTTCTTACAAATCTTCCTTATTTTAGGATTTCACCTTCTTTTCCCATAAGTTATGATTTGATCTTCTACTATGGAAAACCATACCTTTCCTCCCAGACATTTTTAACAAGTTGATGTTTTTCTATCCAGTTGTCTAATTTCTTTAGAATAATTTGATATTAAAATGTGTGTTTCAGCAAAATAGTTTATTTCCTCATATGCCAATTCATTGTATAGTGAGTGGTTTGTACTGATATTCTGGTAGGACTTCTTTTACCGAGGAAAAAAATAAATCCCAAGACATACAATGGCCTTATAATGGTCAAATCTATGGCACATGAAGTTTTTGTAAAATTCTAACCAAATTAAACAAGTACATTATTAAGCATTGCAGGAAAGATTTGATTATGAAATTGTACTTATATCTACATTATGTAATTTCTAATGGTATTTTAAAGATTGATTACAGATTCTATGTGAAACTTTAACTATGAAAGGGGAAGTAGATTGGAGTAAAACAATAACTTTTGGTTCTTTTTCTTTTTTGAAATGTTTATATTCTCCTTATTAGATATAATTTCCTAGTTTCCTCAACTTTGCTATAGAGGAAAATATTTTGCATAGTTGATTCTTTTTATGTGACTTATGTGAGCCTTTTTAGCACAGCTGTATGTTCATTAAATTTCAAGAAATGATACGTGTGGGCTTTCTGGAAGAGACTTAGCATCAGAGGCAAAGTCCTGTGACCTGTTGTTTTAAATCTCACTAATTTCTTTATAATTTTCTGTATAGCAATCTTCCATATTTTGGTTAAATTTATTCTTAGAAATTTGGCAATTTTGATATTATAAATGGTATCTTTTAAAAATATTTCATTTTCTATTTGTTGTATAGAAATATAATTAGCTTTGCCTATAGCAGGTTTTGTAAATTCTCTAATTCCAACAGTTCAGCTCTAAATTTGTGTAGATTTTCTATGTATGTAATATATTACCTACAAATAATGATATTTGTATTTCTTCCTTTCGAGTTCCTTTTTGTCTTTCTTTTAAAATAAGTTTTATTAATGTATGATTTACATAGAATAAATTAAGTACACTGACTTTTTAAGTGTACAGTTCCACTAACTTTGACAAGTATAAGTTTTGTAACCACCCCACGACTGTAATAAAGGAAATGTCTGGTCTTGGGTTACTTTCCTTGCCTGCCTATGCGGATCAGTTCTTCACCAGAGACTAGCAGGGACCCCTCCAGTGCTCTCTACTGCTCTCTGTTGGTGCGACTTCCCCCTCTCCCATCTATGCTAGAAAGCCTAGTTGCTTTGGCCTCTCTGGGCTCCAGCCTCTGTCTCAACTCAGTGATGTGGCCAAGCTATGAGCTCTCCTATCTGGGTCTTGGAAACTTGTTCCCTACTGTCTTCCTCAGGAAGCTGGGGAAAGCCTAGAG